TTGTTCGTTTTCTTCCAATTCCATAATAAACTGAATTTTATGGTGTATTATGAATTGCAAATTATGACCCTTATACTGTTTTACGTGTAGCACGTGTTCTAATACCTAATCCAATCATGATTATATTCATCCACGTGATAAAAAAATAACTTTCAAGGTTTTTATGCTATAAAAAAATCTTTTTCAAATCATACTTCATTATATCCCAATTTTCTTTGCTTACAAGAAACGACTAATTCATCAATTCATCAAAACATGTTTTTCTCTCTCCCTAACAACTGCGTTCCAACAAATCGATTGTCGTCTTACATAAACAACGCGTCACGTGACACAGCGACACTGGAGTATTAAGTCACGTGCAGCCACAGGGAGATAATTATTATGCGGTCCTAATTTTCCTTCGTGCGTACTTTTCTTCTTGGAAAAGATTTATCGCGAGTTAGGTCTTCAAATATGGTTTGGATTGGCTGAGGAATGCTTTCAGCGGATTTTTATTTATTTATTTGACGTAGACGTAGTTTTTTTTAAACATATATTTTCTTTTTGTTGAAGTTATTTATTATACCTCATTTGATAATTTTTAAAATTATAAGAAATATCAGAGTAGCCTGCAAAAACTAGAGTGCAAAACTACATGCAGAAAAGTTAAAAAACAATAGCCAAAAAGATTTGGAAAGATTTTGTGTCTTCTCTAAATAAAAGTACTCTATCTGCAACGTTGTGGAAACAAGCCAGGAAAATAAATAAAAAATCAACCCGAGACACAAACATTTTGGATAACATCTTCTTCTTCTTCTTATTCTTCCTCTTTATAAGCAGTTCTGCTTGTTCATCGGCGGCTTAAAACTTTCTTTAAAAGCTTTCTGCGATATATGTGTTTCTGCTTTTTTCGGTTATTCTTTTTAGGAATAGGGGAGATGTGGGATAGTTGATCCTGGTGGGATACTTGATCCCCATTTAAATTTGGCGCCCAATGATATCCTATTACTGTTCTGTTGACTCACTTGAGTAGAGGCCATACTGTTTACTTTATTTTGACAAATGGCTGCTACTTCAGAACACGATTGACATTTTAATCAAGATTATTCTATTTTGTGACAGTGAAACTTTATTTTACGCCTGCGAGGTAAGTTATAACAACTTTAATTCGTTTAGTTTATAATTATACTGCCCAAATAGGTAAAATATTTGTACTTTTATCCACTGAATACTAAAACATTGATATTTAAACTGTAACTGTTTTAACCTAAAACTTGCACTTGTTAGAAAAATGTCATTACAGAGATAGTTGATCCTATTAAATGGGAGGTACTTGATACCAGGATCAAGTATCCCACTGTGTGTTTCTTTTAATCTCGTGTTTATTATAATTAATTTTATTCATGTTTATTTTTCAGATGCCACGTAAATACTCAACTAAAATAGGAGCAACGAAAAGAGTTCCATATAATGCAGAGAATGTTAAAGTGGCTGTAAATGCGGTAAAAAATGGAGGAAGCTACAAAGCATCCGCTAGGCAGTTCGAAATAAATGTCAATAAATATCATACAAGGTGCGCCAGATGTATTATGGTCTTAGTGTGGAGCAATTGCGCAAATTGGGATACTCCTATGCTGTAACAAATAGGATAACATATTCCCCTGCCTGGGATAAAACAAAGCAAGCTGGCCGCGACTGGTACCGTGGTTTGGTGATAGAAACCCTACGCTATCTTTAAGGGCAGCAGAAGCCACAAACTTGGCACGAAGTTGGTACATTCTTTAATCAATTCACAAATGTTTATACATGGTACCAGTTTTCTCCTAAACGTATATGGAATATTGACGAAACAGGCCTCACTACTGTACACAAATCTGCTAAAATAATTGCTGTGAAAGGATTGAAGCAGGTGGTCAAAATTCCATCTGTAGAACGAGGCGAACTGGTTATGGTGTGTGTTGGCATGTGTGACAGGGGGTCACATGCCTTCTTACATGATATTTCCCATAAAAAATTGGCAGGACAGGTTTTTAAGCCATGCACCTCCTGGCAGCAATGCAACAACATATCCCAGTGGATGGATGACTTGCTCTGATTTTCTGAAGTTTTTGCAACACTTTGTTCGTTTCGCTCAGTCAAGCCTAGATCGGTAACATTTAATTGTTATGGACCACCATGAGAGCCACTGCTCATTCAAGGCTGTAAATTATGCGAGAGACAACGGCATTGTATTTCTTACAATTCCACCGCATGTAGCGTTATAACTGCTACATTGCCTGCTTTATTTCTTATGTTAATATATTTCGTTAATACTATTCTCCAATTTCCGTATCTTCTGTCATAATTCATATTCTTCTATATCCTCCATTGTATCTCTTATTTTTCTATATATTTTCTAGGATATAGATTGTATCAGAATTATGTCGTTACTTAATTGATTCATTATTCTCTTTTCATTTTTACTGGTATTTGGTATAAAAACCAGTTGGCGTCCAAATCTATCTTCTTTATATATATATTTTAGTATCTACCTTTCCTATTTTCTTAATAATCATCATTTTTATCTTTTACTCAAGTTTCTAAAGAGTGAATTTTATTTTCATCTCTATTTCCGTTACTTTGGAACGAGAGGTCCCATCTTTATTCTCTGTGACATTTCTCCTTCCCGTTCGATACAAAAGTCGATATAAAGACTTCTATTTTCTAAAAATGTCGATTTTCTTCATGACTTCTCTAAGAATAGAATAACCAATTGTTGTGTCGTCTCCAGATTTGGAGGTAAGTGTATAATATATTTTATGGATTTCCTAATTCCACCTGTTGTATAAAAATCTTTTTATAATTTTAACTTTGAAAGTTCTAAGCTCATTATTTATGATTATGGTATGACATGTAAGTAGATACATATTTTGTGGACATATTTTTTTTATGTTTTTTATTTTATATAAAAAACTAGCGATAAGAAATACATAGTTTCTTTAATATAGTATGTAAAAGTTTTACGAATATTTTTATAGTTTTAAATATGAATTTTAAATCCATAATATCTTTTGATTTTAATAATTAACTTTTGACAAACTACCATTTTTATATAGCAATGTTTCTAAATTATCTAGCTTTTTAATAAATTTATCTTGTTATTTTTTTTTTAATTAATATTAGAATATTTCAGTTTTAAAAAAGTAATTACCATTTGCATTAAAGTTATATATATCCTTACTTTTACTTATTTGCCTGTGATAAGCACATAAATAAGAATTGTTTCTCGACTTGCTTGGGTGAATAATGATAAAATTTTGTTAAATTTGATTGGTCACCTTATTCATCCCCCAAGCAAGGTCTCTCATTTTGGTTTCACCATTTTCTAAAGCAAGGTGTGTTTTTCTTCATTTTAGTCAACCTCCAGGATACATTTCTCAGGTGCGGGTCAAATTCTATTAACATCCAGAAGACCAACCGGCCTGAGAATGGAACCATTATTCCAATAGGAGAGTTGACTCCAGGACAAGGAAATCCAAAACTACCAACATGGCTTGCTAACAACCAGAGCAGAAAAGACCAGGATAAAACTTAGGATTTGGTGATAAAAATTCTTCTTTCATATACCTAATGTAACACTGTAGCAAGAAGTCGAATAATTTTTATTTAAATTTAATACGATACTTAACATTTATTTTTCTGTTTTTTTTTATATTTAAATAAACATGTGTTAATTTAACTGTGTATTGTTTCTTCTTTTTACTTGTTTGTGTGTGTTGCTCCAGAGTAGGCCATATTCACGTCCTGAGTGAGCTAGCCAGGGAGTGTTTCGTATAACGTCTAATGCAGAAATTTTGTAATTGATACATTAGGGGTTATGACGTTAAAAATTGGTCCCAACGGGAAACGATTTGTCACTCCAACGTTGTTGGTGATGTTAGTCAGGTTGTAGCAGCAAACTAAGGTTTGCGGTTACAGGTTGACAACAGCAGCTCAACGTTGGGATGTTACAAATTGAGCCTCGAAGGGTTACAAATTGGCACCCAATGAATATTTGTTGGCACGTAATAGATTGACGTCCAATGAATGTTCGTTGGAACGTTACACGTACACCTCCCATAAGTTGCAGCCATTAGACCGCGCGGTTTTTGGTTCACTAAAGACTTACTACTCCCAAGCAGCTTTCAATTTTATGCTTAAATTTTCCGGGAGAACTAATACCATTTACGACATTGCAGAACTGCTTGGAGATGCGTTCCCCCCAGCCATGGCTCCTTCAAATATCATAAGAAGTGGGTTCAAAGTATCTGGAATATGGCCGATAAATCCAAACATATTTACTGACGACGAATTTCTGACCAGCGCTATCACGGACCGTCCAGGCCCAACTTTGATTTGGGAATCAGTTCTGGATCCAATACAGCCAACGCCTAGTGCTAGTACATCAATTTCTATAGAACCAACGTTGTCTGGCGTCCCAAAACCTTGCACTCCAACATCGGATATTATGTATGTGAAACATTTTTCTCCACAAGACATCATTCCCTATCCAAGGAAGCACTTTTTGCCCAATCTTCTTGAGATAGAAAACAGGGCCGCTTTCGCATCCTAACTGATACCCTTGAAAAAGTGGAAATTAAAGAATATTATTTTTATAAATTTTTCTACAAATTTGAGACAAGAAAGAATCGATATTAATATATTTTTTGTTTTGAAGAGACTTGTTAAAGCTTTTTATAGTAAAAGATAATTGTCAATTTCTACTTACCTATAACTCGATAAAATGAGCAAAAAACTATCGTCAGAATGACGAACCAAGTGTTCCAATCGTGATTCTTGTTGACAGTAGCTACTCCCAGGAACATGAATATGATGGTTTCGGAGGAACTGCTTAACATTTTCATGGTGTATTTGATGGTAGTATGAGACTTATGCGATATATTAGCTTCCACATAATTCTTCATTGTAATGCCACAAAAAGTTATTCTGAAATAAGCAATAAATGTATCGATCATAAGATATTGGTACATTTAGAATAATACTTACGCCAAAATTCCGGACATATGAAATATCTCGGCGTTTAAATATGCTAAATAGGCCATAACAAATATAAAAATAGGTTCTATAACACGCACTTCATTCGTAAACTTAGTCACTATGGAGGTGGCGATGCCCCAAATCACCCCGATGACCGTCCCGCCGATGGCGACCACCCAAAAGTTCAAGAATCCCGAGATCATGTCGACGTACAGGATATTCTTGAGTCCCATCTCCGTGTAGGACTCAAAGAGATGGTACAGGACCACGGTCACAGCATCGTTGAGAAGCGATTCGCCAAACACAACTATGTACAAAATCTCGTTAACTTGAATTTCTTCGAATACTGCTAGAACTGCTACTGGATCGACTGCGGAGATCAGAGAGCCGAACAGGAACATGTCTAACAGAGGAGTATCACAGGAAAACAGACCTGTCAGTCCGACCGCCCACAAGGAAGCACCTGCAACATAACAATAAGTTTTTAGCACCTCTACTGACACATAGTCTACTAGATTCAAATAAATAAATCAATCAATCGGTAAATCAATTAAACAATTAATTACAGGTCTCCAATTTTCAGATCCATTCAACAAACTTTATTGAAGTTTCATATATATTACAATGTACATTTACATGTACATTGTACATGTACATTTTTTGTATTACATATATATTAAGGTTATCAGCATTAATTAAATAAATGTCTCTTTTAAATCCTCTCTTTGAGTTCATTAATCCCATTAGGCATGTTATCGTAAACTTCAAACTTAAGTTATCCCAACAAGAAAAATTTAGTGGGTACAAATCAGGAGATCTAGCTGGCCGTTCTAAAAATCCTAGTCTATCAATTCATCATCATCATCAGCCATTTTAAGTCCACTGCTGGACATACGCCTTCCGTAAATAATTCCAATGCATTCTATCTTGAGCACCCTGAATCTAGTTGTGCTGAATGCGCTTGATGTCATCTGACCACCTTATTGGAGGACGTCCTCGATTACGATAAGCATCGTGTCTAGGTCTCCATTACAGAATTTTCTTCGTCCACCTTCCATCTTTTAATATGGCAACATACCCCGCCCAGTTCCATTTCAATGTTGTAATTCTTTTAACTGCGTGAGTAACACCAGTTTTTATTCTAACTATTGTATTTGATACTTTGTCTCTGAGGGATATATTCAGCATTGACCTCTCCATCGCTCTCTGTGCCACTTGTATTTTATTGATTACTTTTCTGGTAAGGGTCAATGTTTATGCTCCATACGTTAGAACTGGGAGTACACATTGATCAAAGATCTTCCTTTTCAAGCACATGGGAATATCTTATCTAAAGACTTCTCCCAGTTTTCCGTAAGCCGATCATGCCAGTCCTACTCTTCTGTTTAGCTCCGTTGTTTGATTATCTCTTCCTCATTTAATCTCGTGGCCCAAATATTTATAGCTATACACCTGTTCAATTTGCGTGCCGTTAGTTGAGATTTTTTTCGCCAGTACAAGGTTGATCATATATTGTGTTTTCGAAAAATAAATTTTAAGTCCAACTCATATACACGAGCTCTGAAGGTCTTGAAGAAGCTGGCAGGCATGATCTACCCGGTCTGCAATAAGAACTATGTCGTCTGCAAATCTCAAGTTGTTCAGAAACTCTCCATTTATGTTGACTCCAATATTTTCGCAATTATTGTTTCTCACAGCACTCTGCAACAAAGCGGTGAATAGCTTAGGAGAGATTATATATTCCGAAGAAGAGTTGTGTATCTATGATCAATACTGCACTATGTAAGAGCTCTTAACATGGAGCTATGCTGGACTGAGTCAAACGCTTTCTCAAATTCTACAAATAATAATATCAATGACTTGTTGTATTCTGTAACTTTCTCTATCAAAGACTTTATTACTTGTCGGTGGTCATTCGTTCCAACGCCACTCCTAAATCAGGTCTGCTCTAACGGTTGGTGAAAATACAGCTTAGGTTCCAGTCTGTTAGTAATTATTCTCATTAAGAGCTGATAGGTCTGTAGTTTCCAATTGTTACATCCCCTTTTTTGTGCAATATTATCATATTGGCACTATTCCATTTTTTTGGTGTAACTCCTTCACAGAGGCCGGCATTATAAAGGGTTTTTAAAGCTTTTATGAGGAATTCGCTTTCTAATTTTAGCATTTCACTTACAATGCCATGTTCTCCAGGTGATTTGCTGTTCTTCATCTTTCAACGCTGATTTGATTTCCTCTTCGGTTAATATCTGGAAGTGCCTCTGATCCTTGATTTTGTATGGCTGGGATTTCCACCTCTAGAATGTGAGCATATCGATGATATAATGTTCTATAGTACTCTTGGATAATTTTCATAATTCCTTATTGTTCATTTACAACATGTCCTTGTCTATTTTTTAGCTTATAAATGTTCCTGGTTCCTTTCTTCAACTTTCGTTTTAGAACTTTAAGGCTTTTATTTTGTTCTATAGTATTAGTTGGTTCTTTAGTGTTAAAATCCCTTACGTTTTTCCTAACAGCTTTTGAAATGGTTTTATTTAAATTCCTTAGCTCTGCGATGTTCACTGTGTGCTTATCTTTCATTTCCCTTCTTTTTTGCATTAGGTTCCTGTGCATTCTGTAAGGTTTTCATATTTCTTTGTTTGCTTAATTTGACAGTTCTTCTGTGCCTTTCTTAAAGCGTCTACCAACCTTTCGTTAAGTTGTTCAATATCGGTTTCATCTTGCACGTCATTCTGAAGGTTTCTATCTATTTCTTCCTGTGTCAGTAATCTATCTTGTGTTAGTAATCGCAGTGAACGTAACATTTTTAGTCCTTGTTACCATATTTCTTCGTTCCTTCTTGACGTTCAAGACTACTTTAGCTCTAATCATTCTATGGTCACTTCCAATTGAAATTTTATTTAATACAGTTACGTCTTCACCAGTGTCTTTTTTGTTAGTAAAGATAAAGTCAATTTCGTTCTTGTTTAAGCCATTTGGTGATTTTTAACCATCTGTGAAAATCTTGCATGGATTAACAAGCTTGGCTATCTGATGCTGAAAATCAACTGGATTCTCAATGTCAAAAATGTGGAACCAAACATTGACTTTGGCATAAGAGACATTGAAATTTAATTGAACGAAAGTTAAGTCACCTGTTTAGGTAGTGAGAAACGTTACGATATGCCACTTCCAGAATAGGAGAATTCCTGTTTTATTAGCTAGATTTAAAACACAAATATATATTAAACGAACTAATTAAAAACGGAACGGAAAAGTTATTCCGCATGCTACACAGAATGCTCGAAAGAGTACTAAATGGAAAGGAAATACCTGCGGAATGGACACAAGCATACATCACATCCATACACAAGAAAGGAAACAGGAAAAAAATGTGAAAACTACAGAGGAATTAGTATAATATCGTCGGTAGGTAGACTTTACGGGAAAATTATCAAGGAAAAACTAGAAACTGAAATAATAGGAAAAATTGGAAAAGACCAAGCAGGGTTCACAGTAGGAAAATCATGCCTAGATCATACGTACACATTAGAACAACTGATAGAGAAGAAAATGGCAAAAGGTTGACCGGTCCATCTGGCGTTTGTTGATCTAAAGAAAGCATACGACTCAATACCTAGAGTTAAATTATGGGAAGCAATGAATGATCTCGGAATCCGACAAACACTAATAAAAGCAGTTAAAGCACTGTACAAAGAAAACAAAGTAGGTATTAAATGTGAAAATAAAGCCTACAATCCATTTAAGACGACAAAAGGACTTCTATAAGGCTGTGCTACGTCCCCTACTCTGTTTAAAGTATTCTTGGAAAAGACACTCAAACCATGGAGGAGAAACTGCGAAGGAATGGGCATACCAGTAAGAGACGAATACCTATACACCTTAAATTTTGCCGACGATCAAGTAGTCATCGCACAAGATGAAGAAGATCTCAGCTTTATGCTCAGAAAACTAGAAGAAGAATATAAAAACAACGGAATGGAAATAAACTTAGAGAAAACCGAAAACCTAACAACAGAAAACAAGGATATGAGAAACCTAGAGATAGACGAGGGAAGACAAGTAAATGGAACAGATAAATTCAAGTATTTAGGAACCATAATATCGAACCAGGGAACAACAGAAGAAGATATAAACAACAGACTAAGACAAACAAGAAACTGTATAAGACAACTAAATTCAGTGCTGTGGGATAAGAACATTACGATAAAGACAAAAAAGAGAATATATAATAACCTGACAAGAAGTATCCTGACATATGGGTCCGAAAACTGGACAATAAACAAGAGAAATAGAGGTAGAATAAGAGCAGTAGAAATGGAGTTCCTGAGGAGAAGCTGTAGACTTACAAAAAGAGACAGAATTGAAAACGCAGAGATTAAGCGGAGAATGGGAGTGCAATCAGACATAATCGACTATATAGAGGAGAAAAGACTATACTGGTACGGCCACGTCAGAAGAGCGGACAGAGGACGCTGGATAAACAAAATCACAGAATGGAGCCCAATCGAAAGAAGAAAGAGAGGAAGACCCCGAAGGTCATTCAGAGACGAAATCGACGAGGCTATGGAGAAAAGAACCCTGCGAGATGGAGACTGGAATGACAGGTAAAATTGGAGAAAACGGTTGAGTAAAGGAAGACAGTGAAAACTGTGGAAATCCTTAGTAGTAGTAGTAGTAGTAGTAGTAGAAACACAAATGTTGAATATTTTTTGTAGTACCTCAGTTTGAGTGCAATAATGACATTTCTTCTTCTAAATGTGCCTATCTTCTAGAGATGTTGGCGAATACATTGACCCATCTTATACCATTCACAGCAGTTTGAAATAGATCAGTTGACGTTAGACTAGTCAACTTTCTAAGATTGTCCAGCCGAGATATACGACTACGTCCAGGGCCTCTCTTACCCTCAGTCTAGCCTTGTAGAATCAACTGCAGAAGTCGGTATTTATCGTTACGCATGATGTGGCCGAAGTAAGTTATATTTCTTTTTTTTTGCTTTTTATGATATTTAGGAATGAATTTTTTAGCTAAAAAAGGCGTCTTAAATGTAAGGACGGATCCATAGATTTAGATAGTAGATTCTTTTTAGGTGTAGATTTGAGCATCAAATTTCCAATCTTCATATTGTAAAATAGATATATCCTTTTAATTAAAAAATTTAATTAAAAATCCTTTGTAAAAGGTATATTTTAGGCCCAAACGGGCTAAGTTAAAAAGACAAAACGTTTTCGGAAACCATGTTCCATCATCAGTGTCTAGGGGTACATGAATGAAGCCACCAAGATTAAATATGTGGGTAAAAACCCGATTACATATGTTTAATTACATTTAGTTTTAAATTAATGTTGAAATAATATAAGATTACAGAGTTACCGATGGATTTGGTAACATGGCGACATATGACTCCACGTTGAAGTTGCTAGTCCTGAGACTCATATAGTCCTCGAAGACATACCG